GCCCTCTGATTTATTATTTTTTAAGGCCATTGTTTCTTTGCAATTTCTTTAACTGTTTCTTGTAATGACCTTGCTTTTACACACAGTTGATAATGGATTAATGGCAAAGCTCCCGTTGCTTCTTTCAGGAATCGCAGTGGCCCTACATCTAACCCCTTAGAAGCATAATAACCAGAAGCTGTTATTGTACGTGGTTGTTTGTGGTTTCTGTGCTGCTGGAAGTACGTTCTTAATGATGTTTGGATACTCCCTTGTATCCTATAGGTTTTGTACAAAGAAAATGTGGGGAAAGTGACCCCAACACCAATCACTCCAGAGATGGAGAGAGTCAAACGCAATCAAGAAATCATTAGCTCGGTACCTTACAAATAGATGTTTTTTCCCCTTTGTCTCTATAGTAATGTTAATCAAGTAACATTCTAACTACGTACTGAACACTGATTTTAATGTAAAAAATAGATTTGTTTCTGCCAGTTAATCTTCCCCTTTCTATAATAAACTTGGCTTTAGTGTTAACATTCTGATCTGAGAACTTAGGAGCTCTCTGCAGCTCAGTTTGTCTCACTTGGGCTCTATCCAGCCAACACCAGCACACTGCTGTCCCTGGGGAAGTGACCCCCAGCTCCATCTCTCTGTGCTGCGTCTGTAAGCTGTTGTTGTCCTTGCAGGGGTATTTGAATTCAGTGGGAGAAAACCCCAACCCAAACACTGGGAAAACCCCACCTGAGTTGCACTGCTTGAGGCGACCTTAACCAGAATCCCACCCGGTGGCACAGGGATGTTTTTAGGTAGGACACCAGCAGTCAGGGTTTGGGCACAGAGGGGATCCTCTCCTTGGCCTGGATCTTGACCAGCAGGGTCGATAGAGCAGTCCTTAGTTCTTGGGGTCCCTGGTGGCTTCCTTGAGCCTGTGGAGCCAAGGTTGAAGCTGTAGCTGGATAGAGCCCTTCAGTTTAACCCGAACAAACAGTAGTAACAAGCTTCTCTTTTTCAGTTTATTTTTCTTACCCCTCCCACTAGCTCTGGATGTTTGGCTTTTTGCGGTGATCTGTAATCTGCCACTACTGATTTGAACTCTGATAACTACATAATTCCCCGTGTTGGAATCCTTTTGAATGTTCTTGCTTTTTTGTGAGATGCCGGATGCGTGTTCTGTATCCCACAGGTGTTGTACAAAGAGAACTTGGGGCAAGCAACCCCCACCCCTCTCACTCCTGAGATGGAGAGAGTGAAACGCAATCAAGAACAGATTAGCTCGGTATTGTCCACGAGACGTGAAGGGGCTAAGATAGAGATGTTCTCTTTTTGAATGACTCAAGTTGCCTGGTTTTCATTTAACCCTCTAATTTTTCCCCTCGGATGTAGAAACTTATCATGTCAAATTACAGTGAATCTCTATTTTTCATCACTTAACTTTTTAATATTTTTTCCTCACTTAATTTTTTCCCTTCGTAACGAATGGTGTTCATTCTAAAACCAGTCACGCCAGTTGTGATCTGTACACTTGTGACGTTGCTTTGTGGTCTGTAGGTTGTGTACAAGGAAGGCTTAGGGAAGGCGACCCCCACGCCGGTCACTCCTGAGATGGAGCGAGTCAGACGCACCCAGGAACAAATCAGCTCGGTACTGAAAGAGGAAGATACCTGCCTAAGATTAAAAATAACCCTTGTGAAGAAAATCCACCTCTAATTCAGCCCCGTTCTCTCTCTCTGTTCCATGGTTTTGCCTATTTATTTTCCCCTTTTCTTGCTTTCGCTCAAGCAAATAACTTCTTAGCAGCTTTATTTATTTCCCAAGATCTTTTCTGTCCCTGCAGTGCTGAGTATGCTTACCCAATAACAGCACCAGCAGAATGAGCTGCTGGGTGAGCTGCTCTGACTTGTACGCACGTTGTGTACTCTAGGTGTTGTACAAAGAACAGCTGGCAAAAGGCACCCCAACCCCGATGACCCCTGAGATGGAGAGAGCCAAGCGCAACCAGGAAAACATCAGCTCGGTGAGTGCTTCAGGATGTTACAAACAGCACTCCTCCACTTTGGGCATTCCTTTATGGTTACGGGAGTGGCAGTGTTTAGCCTTTCCTCCCTCTCTTCTTCCCTTCCTTCCTTCCCTCCCTCCCTCCCTCCCCCCCTTTCCTCCCTCTCTTCTTCCCTTCCTTCCCTCCCTCCCTCCCCAC